CCACAGCAGCTACTGAAACTAGCAAAGAAGAACAGAAAAGCCAGAATATCCCTTCTGCCGTATTGTGAACTATGCAAAGGTACCCAGCGAAGAGCACTGGTGGTGTAGTAGGGCAGTCCAAGGACAAACAGCAAAACAAGTTGTAAGAGCTCGTATTTTTTTATTAGAGCAATTCATCTAGTTGAGGGGTCACCTAAATATCATCTCATATTTAATAATTAATCATAATAACAACCTAAAATAACAAACCAATCAAATAGAGGAGCATGTAAGCTCCATGCTCTTGCAAAGCCTTGAGAAAAAGCTCCTGCAATTAATTTGTGTACACAAAATATCCTTGAATAAGCTGCAGAATTCAGCTTTCCCATACAAAAAAAAAATCAGATCTTAAAAGCTTAACTAAACGTTCGTGATATTAGAGCCCCGAGTCACGCTCCAGGGAAGTAGCACAGATCTCCCTGTAAGGCTGCCTGCCTCGGGAGTTCAAAGCTGCATCTTTGGGAGTTCACCTTTCATTCACTGATGCTCCGCTGCAGGTAACAGATGCTTAAAAACACGCTTTCTTTAAATTCACTAGATGAACAGAAAAGGGCGGAGGGGGTGGCAGGAGGAGGAAGGAGGGATGGCGTAGGCGCACACGCTGTGTAAGGGCTTGGGAAGATGCAGCTATCACACGCCCAGAGAGGCACTAGCACTGCTGCCATTTCGCAGCCGGCCCTGCAGCAGGTCCATCCTCACGCTGAGGTTTACTGTGAGATGGCCGCCACGCCACAAACCGACTGCACGGGGGCTAAACCCCGCTCAACCTTTCAGTGGGCACCAACTTGGGTGGAGATGACACTCGGCATCACCTGGCACTTTTGCATCACCCAGGGCACCCCAGGACTTGCTAGGTGACATCCCGCAGCATCTTCCTACACCTGGGACACAAATTCTGCGAGCACGGCCCACACCAGAACTTGAAATAAATAAATAAATAGATAAAAAGTGCTACCTGCCTTTTTCTAGCCCAGAAATCTTCCACCACCCACACTGCTCCCCACCGAGCCCCGGGCACACCGACGCAAGCCCAGCGATTGGGAAGGTGCCAGCGCAGAAGCTGCCCCAGGGCAGCGCCCTGCAACTGCTGCAGGGGCTGGGGAGCCAGCGAAAGCAAAAGCTTTGTCGAGATATTTTCTAACAGTGAAAAAGAGGAGGTGAACACCTCTCCAGACACTACAGCAACAGCAGCATTAGGATTATTCTGGAGAATTAGCGTGGACCTTAGACTGTTTTCATATCGGGAAAGTCAATGCCTGCAGCTTCACCGGTGGTCCCCCATGCCGCCTGGAAAGTGCTGGTTACAACAGCTCCTCCTGGAAAGACACCCACTGCTCCCAGTAGCGATCGCAGGCTGGAGATTACCCGAAGCACCTCGGACCTGGCAGCCAGGGACAGCCGCTGGCACTGCTATGAGCCCACAGCTCCCCCTCCACGCGTGCAGCCATGGGAGGCCCCATGCACTGCCGCACAGGGCGCAGAAGGCAGCAATGCCCCTGATGCTTTTGTTCAACCTCCAGCAGAGACCATCGGGCATCACCGACCCACTACGCAACCGAGCTTAATGAGGGTTTTTTGGTTTTGTTTTACTGCCAAAGGAAAGGGTCCTACCAAAACAAAATGCTATGTGGCTTCCCCACACTCAAAAATGAATGAGGTTGGTTGAAATCAAGCAGGGAATAAGAATGGGGCTAACCACTTCTTACGTGGGAATAACAGCAAGGCTGGCATTGGGATTATTTGCTTCTGTGAAGAAGAGAAACTAATAAATGATCACTGGGGTTTTGTTTTATAGATCCCCTGTCAAAGGAAAAATAAAGGGGGAAGGGCAGATGTGGTTACTAGATAAAAGACTCATCATTAGAAATGAACATATAAAATTTAATAGCTTGGTTTAAAATACATTTTCAATTAAAAAACAGCAGGCAAAACCAAAAAAATCAGTTTCATAAAACATACATGACATTGCTGCTACTGTTGTAAGACCCGTGTCCCAGAATATCTTATAGTGGAAAACAATCATCAGATTTAGTTCACATACTTCATTAAGCAGTAAAAAGAAGTAACATTCATGTCAGTCCTACTTCTATGGAGACTCTAAATCTACTTCCCTGACCCTAGACTGAGTTTCTGTAAGAAAACTTCCATTTTCAATAAAAATGTGTAAATATATATGTATTCTATATATCAGGTTTAAAAAAAAAATTCCCTTGCCATAGTAACATTATTCCCCATGACTGATGAAGGGAAGCCCAAGCGGCCGGTTGGTGTCAGCTGGGTAGGAGTCCCGTGGCTGCTCTGCTCTGCAGGCGGTGGATTCCTGTACGGGGTGGCACGTGTTGGCCAAGTCTCTTCGGCACCATGCTGCAGGCCAGCTTCCCTCCTTCAAGCCCACAGGCTCCATCCACACGCCTACAGTCATGGACGCATCCACGTGGAGTTTGCTCAGCTCCAGCCACAGAGCGAAGAGAGGAGCACGCGGTGCCCAGAGTGTCGGCAAGCCTTTGTGGGGCCCATCAACAGAGGAGGAGGAGGAGGAAGGAGGGGGGAATGGAGGTCTATGAACCAGCTCAAGATTGGTCTGAACACAAATCCCAAAATACTATGTTTCATGTAAATCATTAAAAAAGTATGGTAAGGAGGGACTTCAAGTGCTCACCTAGTCTCAGCACCAAGGGAGAATCAACTATACCTGTGACCTTTGCCCAGCCTGGCTCTGAAGACCTCTGATGCCAAACTCCACTGCCTCCCTGGGCAACCTGCTCTTCTCACTAGAGAAAACCGCCTCGACACCTAACCTGAATTTCTGCAATTTACGCCCACTACTTCTCGTTGTGCTTGCGATGGACCGGGAGAACACTTCCACGTGTTGGGAGGCTGCTCCCCTCAACCTTCCCTTCTGAAGATGACCCCTCACCAGACAACTCATCCAGCCCTTCCTCCTCAGTAGCCACGAGCTCTGGCTGAAGGACCGGGCGGGTCTGGCCTCTCTGGGACATCCGATAGGACTAGGCTCTGCTGGAAGGGCCGGGCTCAGCACAGGGCACAGCGCTCCAGCAGAGGCCTCGGTGAGATGCCAAGTAGAGCAAAAGGCGGGTCTCCTATTTCTTGCAGGCCATGCTCCCGTTTATCAACTCAACATGGCATTTGCCTCCCTCTTCCAAACAGCAGCATGACACAGCTGAACATTCGGTTACGATTCGTTAACCATTAAGTAGACTTTTTAACCATTAAGTAGAATCATATCCTACTTTTCCGGACTATTTCTCCAGCCTATCCAGATTGACCTCCACGTCCTCGGTGAGGCATGTGCAGCTTTGTGCTGTCTGAAAACATTACAAACCTCTCCTGCATTATCCAGATCCCTAACAAAAGCACTGAGTGACACTGGACCTGGTACTCATGCTCATCTGCTCACCCTGTAATGTAGGTTTTTGTCTTAGAGCCACGTGCTGCTGTTTAAATGTTCTCCTCTCACTTGCTACTTAACCAGAGGGTGCTGAGGGTGCCTTTCCTTCACAAGCACATGCACGCGATGAGTAAATACTGTACAATCTACTGCAGAGCAGTATTTTTTGGAGGTGTTTGGCACTCCCAGCTGGGCCTAGGCTCAGGATGCCTGTTACCAGCTGCCCGTTCGGTCTCTCCACCTCAGCAGTGTGTCAATGCGCTTAACCTGCTTGCAGCCCCTAGGCCCCGCTAAAGCTTGGCTTGCTGAGCCGGGATGGCACCTTCCTCTCTCAAAAGCCTTGCCTGTGCACTTCTGGTTGTTGACATCCTAGGACCCTGCAAGCTGTCTCCAACCCATGGGTTCATCCAGCCTGAGCTGCTGTTGTGGGCAGCGTCCAGCCGAGCCTTAAGTACACTGCTACAGAAAAAAAATCCACCCTCCAGGAGACCTTCTTCCTGACCCCCAGAAGCGAGATTTCAAGGAAACTGCATCTGCTCAGCTCCTCTTGAGACCCAGCTCTCAGACTCGGCCCAAATCACCTCCCAGGGCAGCAGTACGCAGCCGTTTCAGGGCTCAAACTGGCAGTTCATAAGAGAAGCCAGGACCACAGTTGCCTGGCTGTGCAGGAGGGTTTAGGAGAGAGCCGGTACCTTTTTCCTTCCACGCAGGAAGATCCATGTTGAACAAGCAGGTCTCTTGTGCCTTCTATGAACATACAAACGTGTGCTCACCTTTGGTGCGTGTTAAGGGTTTGTCCATTTTTAAATAGCTACGTTAAATATCTGTTTTCTCTGTATATGGCATCCTTTTAGATGGGCTTCATTGCATATATTCACGGTATATACAGAACACCATTTTATATATATTATATATCACTTGTATGTACACATTTACAAACCTTCAAAAATATATTGCACTTATATACAATATAGCTTCATCTGATGAGAGTTCACACAGTTACTAAGGCCAGTTCTTCATAAGCAAGGCAGTTTTACATTCCCCCCAAATGACACAAGTGATTTCAACAGTCTGCCCTGTTCAAGAGTAAACATTATAAAGACTTTTCTCCAACCTGCACGCAATTCCTACTAGTATCAATTAGTAGTTTTGCAGCTCTGCCTAGCAGAAAACAGTCCAATAAAATGGTATTAGCTGATAACGGGCTCAAACACGGTTACTGAATAGATAAATAAAGATAACACCACTCTAAAAGGCCACCTTCCAGGAGTTTTCTCCTCCCATGTTTACTAGTGTTTTATACATGCTCTCTATTTAATCGCTGATCTTTGCTCACTCATTTCAAGTGCAAATAAGGTCATGAGCATTACAACGTTCTTTGGAAGGAACAGAAACACGAATGTATTAAGCAAAACCACTGCTCTGCTCCCCAGAACAAGTCAACACCTGGCTTTCTTCTGGAGAAGGTGATTAGTGTTTTGCCCAACATACTAAATTATAGGAAAATGTTCACTTGAGACCTTTGTTTAAAATCCACAGAGGATCCATGACCTTAGATCTCGGTCAGAGTGAGCTTGTAAGATCCTCCAACTTCTTCAATCTGCAACTGGAAGGTATCTTCATTAGAATAGTGTTTCACGATGTTATCGTCCATGTTGACCAGAATTCTGGAAAAATAAAATAAATCAGGGATATATTACACTTCTAAATGCCAAAGACAGCAAAGGCGCCCTCAAACCTCAGAGAGCCTGGACTGTCCAGGGGTAACACAAGATCTCTGCTCACCCATCTCTGACTCATTGCTTCCTATGGCAGATCTAGCTGTCCTTACCCAAACCTGCCATCAAGGCTTGCAGCCGTGCTTCTAGGATGTGAATGAAAGGGTTAAGTCTGGCTCCCGGACCAGGGAGGGAGAGAGATCCTGGAACTGGCAGACATCCTTCTGAAGCTGCAGACACTTGGGCAACCTCGGAGCTCTGAACTGATTTGTTTGACAGTTACAAGCAATCAGCACAAAACCCTACAGAGCTTGCAGGGAAGAAACCACCGATGCTTGGCCACTGCTTTCATTTGCCTCTTCTGTGTGTTCATGTGCACACATACACACAAAGCTGTCCTTAGCAGTGGTTTAGCTACCATCAGTTCAAAACTTTTGCAGTTATTCTGGTGGGGTAATTCTGCTACGAAAGCACAACCCTTGAAACTACATTCCAAAGGTGATGAAAGGATGTAATTTTCTGGCCAGAGGGCTTTGGGGAAGGGGCTGAGACACTGAAGTGACTTTAGAGAAAAAACAAGAAAATTAGTGAGAGATTAAAAGGAAAAACAAAAGCAGACAATGTTCAGGAACTCAATTATTTATGCTACAAAATAAAAACAGTGGAGTGTGGCCTCTGTGGGGGACGGACACTTCACAATAAAGGTCTCTTCAATTTAGCCCACAAAAAGACAACCAGGTTTAGTAATTGTAGCCAAATGCAGACATAGTGAGCACAGTTAACCACTGGAACAATTTAACATGGGTTGAAGTAGGTTCTTTGTCACTGGGAGTCTTTAAACAAACTGAACTCTTCTTCCTCTGACGTGATCAACTGGTTCAAATCGCAGTTAACTCAGAGAGGTTCCGTGACTTGTATTTACCCAGGAAGTCGGACTACATATTTCTATAGGACCCTTCTGGTCTTCAGCTCTATGAATGACGTTGGAATGTGTGTATGTTGCATGCACACACACATATCCACAAATGGCATTTGCATATGTGCAGTGCATGGGGGAATTATAAAGCAGATTTGCCTACAGGTTTGGAAAAAGGAGTCCATAGTCTCAGACAGTTGCTGCATAGGTACATACTCACCCTTTTTTACATTTTTTGAAGATTTTTCCTATTTTATCAAAAGGAACGTCATACTTGTCAGAGATCTAGAACAAAAGAAAGCAAGCATTGGTGAAGCAAGGAGACTGCTGGCATTGTCTTCCACTTACTATTTTACAGAAAGGAACAAAAAAAAGGTCTGCAGATGAAAACAACTGCTCTGCCCTATAAAGGCAATACTAAATCCTGAACTATAGCATAAGCCTACAGATGAGAACCCCTCCTCTGCAGTTTGCCAACTTCTGTGCAAAAAATTTAATCATGTTCTAAACCTGGCCACTGACTTCTCATACAGCAACCCCTTGCCCCCACACCAAAAAGCCCAGACATTAGAAAACCACCCCACACCCTGGTTCTCATCCTCTCTTGGCTCTCTGTTCTCCTAGCGTACCGAAAACCATTTTTAAATTCAGTGTCAGAGGGATCAAGTGAAACCAGTCATCACAGCGGCTGGTGCAGGAAGAAAATAGCAACAGAGCAAAGACCTCTGCTGCTAAGGACACGAGCTGATCAGAAATGTCCCCCTTTCCCAGCAGGGTGACCTCAGTGTGTAACAGCTGCCACTAACCATGGCACTTCACTGTACAAGCCTCCAGAAAGTCATGAGGTCAGTAATTTAAGCCTGGTTTACTTTGGCAAATTGCTCTATCACACCAACAGCAAGTACCAAACCAATACGCCGTTTGAGGATGCAAAAGCACAGGGGGTTTCCTCCAAGCTAGAGTTGTGAGCTCTTGGTTCCTTGCTTTAAGAAGTCCAAGTGAAACAACAAAGGTGCAGCTTCACTTCAGGACCGTGGGGTAAGGGAGGACTTCATAGCCTTCAATCCCCCTCCCCATTAGCCCTCACCTCCAGCCCGCCTGTGCTGTGAAAGCTCCACAGCCAGGAAGAGAGAGCTTCAGGTTACAGAATCATCTCTGGGTCCCAAAGCTAATGGCAAGACCTGGCTGTACAGCCCCAAAGCCTCCATCCTCTGAGCACTGACGAGGCATTAGTCCCAGAAAGAGGCAGCCAGAAACATCAGTTTTGAGCTCGCACCAAACATTACACCATTCCTCGGAGTTAAGCTCTGTATTTCCTTTGCAGCACTGCAGCAGCAGGGATAGTGGAAGGCTATTTTGGAAGTCAAGTACCAGAGAGCAATTTCACGCACGTGTGCACAGATATATAAAAGTCTTCAAGCACACTCAGAAACTGGGACTTGGAGCTCTTCATAAGCAGGTTATGAAAGGGGAGGGGAGGCCCCCAAACAAGGCTTTGAAAGACTGAAAAAAATCCAAACCACTGAACACATTCTGGAAATCACTCCATCTTCTAATTAAAATACCCTCTCTGACATGAGGGACATCCACGGTGGGAGTCTGTTGACTGTTTTTTGATGCAGCAAGGAAAAGACCTACACAGCTGCTTCTGCAGCTTGGCCAAAGTAGAGCTTGCGTAAGAAGCAAACCCAGAAGGCTCTCTCTCCAGCAGCACCTGTCATTTTGGCACTATCTCAGGTATCCAGTCATCGAGCTTGACATAGCTGGATTTTCAGGAAGACTGAGAAACACCTTCTTACACTCAGACCCCACAGATGTGGGGTAAGGTACTTCCTCAAGTCCCTTAATAATGAATTAAAGCATTATTTACATTCATTTCCACGTTATTGAAAGGAAATCAGCCTTATGCTTCTTATCCAGAAGAGCAGGAGTATGTGGACACAAGCTGTGATTTAGAGTCTAGCTCCTGTGACTGTCCAGTGTATAAGGACTGTAAAACAGCCTTATTACTTACCGCTTCCATTAGACCTTTCAGAGACGGTGTCTTTAACATCAGTGCATCAAAGACTTCCTCTGACTCTTTTCGGACATACAGCAACACTGAAAAGCAAATTGGAGAGAGGAATTAGCTGCATAATTGCTCCTCAGAAAAGATCTGTATATGACAGTGGCTAAGCATACAGTAACATACATTGAGGATCTTATGAAGAGATATACATACGTACATTCAATATACATTGAAGACTGCACCACGAAAATGCGTAGCTAGGTTAGCTCAAAACATACTTTTTGCACACAGAAATACTGCATGCTCAAGCATCTTTATTGTCAAAATACTTTTAAATTTCTCTCTATTTGATATTTTCTCTATTATTTGAAAAAAGGTCATATTTGAAACACGGAAAGGAGGAACACAAAACACGGAGCTTTGAGACTCTTGATGGGTCCCTCCATATCTCACAGGTCATTTGCCATAAGACTTTGTACAATACAATGATTTGACAGATGCTACCACAGCAGGTGAAGCCATCCTGGCCACCTCCTCATTTTTAAATAATTTATTTGTACAGTCCTCTGTTCCTCCTATGCTGTCTCATCTCTCTTCCTACCCCTTGCCATGTTTCAGTAATACTCATACCACCACAGCTGACATACAAAGCAGACTTAGCCTCCTGCTAGGAGGGGAACGAAAGAATAAGAAACCCGATTAGGTAAGCATCCCTAGCGTTCTCAAGCTAGCAGAGAGTCATTGCATGTAACATCAGCCTCATTAAAAACTGCTTTAAGGCTGAGGAATAAGCCATGACAGCAAGAAAGCTTGGACTTCAACAGCTTTGCTGTCTTTAATCCCTCTTTCTAATCACTAGGTATTGCAGCCTGGATTGTTTACAAGGGTTCATCAGCCACAGCTTTGACACACCTGCAACACAGAACAATTACTGGCATATCTAATTGAACAAGATGAACTCAGGACAGCACAGCACCTTGATGGATTTCTCTGCTAAAAGCAGGTTTAAAGAAGGAGGACTGTAGATTTAAAAAATGAAGACAGCACACACACTCTCAGTGACAGCACAGGTCAGATGATATACCAGCCAAAGAAGAGAGAATCCCATGGGTCTCATTTTATGGCATACAGCAACAAGAAAAACCAAGAAGTCTAATTTCCTTTTATAAAATCCATCCTTCCTTACTAGTTGACCCAGACTACAGAATTGCAGCCCCATTAAGGTCAGACTTGCTAGATTCAACCTTCGCCGCATCACAAGTTTAATCCTCCTCTTTTAATCCTTTAAGGTTTGTTGTGGTCCTCCCACACATGACTCATCAGGCAGGTAATGCTCTACACCATCTCCAGAGGGACCTCTCATCTCCTTTCACAACACCACAGCAACATCCAATCCCACATCAAATTGCAAAGGTTGACAACAGGTTAAAAATAAGCAGAATATTCTCTCAGTTTGGCTCTCAGCATGAATAGCCCATTTTCTGCCACCACGAAAGATGCCAACAGTTTTATACCCAGAACCAGTTCTTGGCATTCATTGCTTAAAGTCCTAGAGAAGATTTCCAAAGTATTTTGTAGTGGCTTACATGATGAATTCTCTCCCCCAATCCACCAAGGAGATTGGTAAGCTGCTCACCTCCGCTGAGTCTCTTTTCTTACAGGTTCAGAGCCAATTAGTGTCTGAGTTGGCAGAAAAAGCCAGAAATTCTGACACTGTAAAAGATTCGTGGAGCTGAACTACATCCTGTTACGCAAACTCTTTCTATTACTACTCAAAGCCAGAAAAATCAGGCTCAAGTATACTCCGAAATAAATTAAAACAACTCTTTAACCTCAGATGCATCTATCTATCATGATGGACAAATACTCCAATAATTCAGTCTCTGCAAGAAGAAAATAATACCTCTTTTTGGTTCTTCTATTCTGGCCATCTTATTCGGAGTAGCAATAAAGTCCTCTTCACCGATGTAGGCTCCTCTCTTCAGGTTGGAGCTGTCATTGACAGGGCAAAAAGTTGGCAGTGGTACAATTAGAGGGACTTACCCCTCTGTCTGAGGGCAAGACTTCAGTAGGCTGAAGTAGCACAGCTCTTACCTTTCACCATCCAGTTCTTCTGAAGCAACAGGAAGGACCTTTTAAAACAAAGGGGAGATTTTCTTGGCATACGCAGAAAAACACACACTGAATTAGCTAGCTAGTGAGAAACTTATGTGGTACTCAGTCCTCGGAAAACGCTACAAAGGGCTCTGAACGCTACAAAACAAAGCTGCATAAGGACAGACCCATTAGCTGGTGTAACATGTCAGCAATGCTCTCCCCATCCCTCTAATTGCTATCTGTTAATAGTGACTTAGCAATAGCTTTGTTTCATAGAATCATAGGATAGTTTGGGTTGGAAGGGACCTCTAAAGGTCATCTAGTCCAACCCCCCTGCCGTGGGCACGGACATCTTCCACTAGATCAGGTTGCTCAGAGCCCCGTCCAGCCTGACCTTGAACGTTTCCAGGGATGGGGCATCCACCACCTCTCAGGGCAACCTGTGCCAGTGTTTCACCGCCCTCAGCATAAAAAATTTCTTCCTTATATCTAGAATTTCTTCCTTATATCTTTTTTTTATATCTGTTTGCGATAAAGAGTCACTGGCATAGAACAACAATCGTGCTGCATCCAGCATGAGCAGAGGTCCAACAGCATCGAGTTATAGGAGAGGGAACCCCTGAGCTCACGGCAGGAGCTGCAAGGAATAGGCAGATGGCTCACCCACCCAACTCACTTGTAAGCATATCAGTACAGGACATAGGGGAAATCAAGGCTCTCAAGTAGGGAGCCTACTAGAAGTAAGATGCTTTGGTCCCAGCAACAAACATTGGCCTTCATTTTAATACACAAATAACACTTGTGCTTAGGGTTGTGAAAATTTTATCCAGAACTAGAATTCATTTCCTCCTATTATCTTTCAACCCTGTATCAAACACCATTTCGGCTCAATCTTCCAAAAGCCAGTAAGCATCTCCTTTACCTTTTTTCATAAAGAGAAATTAAAGGATCTCAAATGAGAGAGATAGGAACATACAAGAGCTAACCAGCTTTCTATCTGGACTGGTGTAGAGTCTTCTGACAGACCTCAGCACTAGAGCCTTCGTAGGAAAACATGCAGAAAAGTCAGCCTTACAGATACAAGTTTATTTCTCCATCCCTGCTAGGAGTTTAGGCAATGCTCTTAAAAAGTAAGGTTTAGATTATGTTAGAGCATGCCAGAACTCCTGGCACAGGAAAGTTCAAGATTTTGAAACTTGGTTGCACTCTAATTTTTTTCCCTTCCAGTTTCCTGTCAGCTGGGACTTTCCAGGAACGCTGAGGCAGGGCGCTCTGGCAGCAGATCACAGAGCCGACACACTTGCCAGTTCCACGGAATGGATTTTCACCCTGCAGCAGCAGGCTGGAGGAGCCCACAGTCTACAGCAGTGCACCAGGAACCCAGCAGACTTTACAAGAGAACACCAGCCTGCAGTTCATTCAGTGAACTCTTGGCTGGAGATGCTGTGGAAAAATCCTTTCAGGTTCATGGAAACAGGAGTTCATAGGAAAATAATTTTATCAGAAAACATCCCCAGCCAATGTGTCTAGGAGCAACATCTCTTGCTCACATGAGACTCAGCCTGTATTTGTTTACAGCATCAACACAGACAGTTTGGCATTTCAGATGTATGCACCCCAGGCTTTTTGCAAATACATCCCATAGCCTCCTCACCCCCACATCCATGAGCTTTACTTACATGAGCCCCACGCTGAAGATTTGCAAAGTGAACATCAGGAATGAAAAGGACAGGCTGAGTGTCTAGGTCCATGAAGGGCTTGAAGATGGTGATGTCCGTACGTTTGTGTGAGGGAAGCATGGGCACTTTGACATCAGAAACTGCAGAGACCAAAGATGGGAATAGAGGATAGTGAAGGCACTGACGGGGCTGTGGCTTTCTTACATCATTTAAAAGGCACATACACTGTTGAACAAGGGTACTCTGCAGTCAGGGTCAAAGGGAGAAGCTCCTGTGGTAGAGGAGTTTGAACCTGGGTTGTCTACCTCTCAGATGAGGACCTGGACCCTGAGGAAACAGCTTGCTTCACAGAGTAGTAGAAGTTTGCTCCATCTATCCAAGTGAGCTGTTTGACTTTGTTTGGATATTAAACTGTGCTGGAGAATGGTCTGGCCGCTCACCCCAACAGGGGAACCTAGGTCTTCCATGTACCAAGCAAACCATCCAAAGAGAGGGCAAAAGCTAGTCCAAGTCCCCCCTTTTCCCTATCTGTTCCCTCAAAAGGTTGCTGTATTTCCTATACCAGGAAGGCAGAAAGACGACAAAGAGACAGCTCGCAACCCACGTGGTTCCAGTTGAGAGCCTCTCGAAGAAACAGCACCACAGAAGCACTATCACACTACAGAGGTGGTACAAATACTGTTCCTTGCAAGATGCTACATTTAGAGTTACATTTTGATTCCACACTTTCAAATTTTGTTCATCTCATTGTTCATCCTGGTCACCTCAAGCTGCCAGACCCCAGTTCATCCCCCAGCAGGACCAGCACTGTCTCCCACAGAGCACTTTGGCTCTCACGACGCACCAGCTGACGTGACACAAGCCACCAAGTGGACAGACTTCACCCACAAAGACCCGCCTGGGAGAGAGTGAGGCAGGAGGTGCCTTAAACTGCACTTCAGACACGTTCATGTCAAACTGACCCCAACTGAAGACTTCATTTTACCAAGTGGAAACATTTCAATTTTGGGTCAAACCAACTGCAAACAGAACACTTCATATCTCATGTCCCCAGTGGAAAATAGACTTTTTTTTTCTTGCAAAACTGATTTTTTAAAGATTGCTCAATCCCTGTAAAAATAACTTTGACCAAAAGCCACAAACTGTTTCTGCTGTTGATGAGTCCATGTGCACATAGCATTTGTGATCCTGGAGGTGGGTATAACAGCTTATGGCTTAAAGTAATCGAAAACTTCCCACACAAGAACTAAACAGCAATGGATTGTACTTTCCAGGAAAATAAAGGTCACATCAGGCTAATCCCAAGCCTAGGAGATTCATATTGGAAAGCAGCTTTTGTAAAATCGCAAGATCCTGGAAACTGTACTGAAACTGTTTGCACTTTCCAGCCATTACGCAAAGAGCTGCATGCAGTAATCTTTTGGGAGCCGTTGGGGTTACTATATTTGTGAAATGCTAACAGCGTGCTAAACCTACCTTTCACGATGTACTTTGGGAAAAAAACAAAAAACCCAGCCCTTTCTGCAACTGCCCTTGAGCAAATGGGTTCCCTTGTAGCTTTATCTTCTTCTGAAGTTGCTCCAGCAGCCTGTACCTGCTGTCTCAGGAAAATCCTGCCCAGCAAGCTGTGAGGTGCATGCTTGTTGAACCAGTTGAACTGTTAATAGCACGGCTCTGACAAGCACACTGAGCAGAGCAAGGGAGAGCACGCACCTGCCCCATGCAAAGGAAGAACAGGGAGATACATTTTCCTCTAAGCAGCTCTGCTGGTGAATAACTAGTCATCCAAACATAGGATCTGTCGCAGTCATCTGCAGCAGTTACAGGAAAGATGCTCAGCAGGAAGAAGCTCCACAGCCTTTACATACTACGGTGCTGAGGCCTTCACATCCTTCATGTGCAGGAACAACTTCTATTGAAATTATTTACTAAGGGCCTCTTTGCTCTACAAGAGTGAGCATAGGGCTGGGAGGCTGGAGGCTCAGTCCCAAAGCTGCCACTGCCTTGCCGCAGAGTTATAAACACATTTTTAATGTAAGTTAAAGCTTAAATTTAGGATCAAGCTGGAAACATTTGGAACAGCTCCAGTTCTCGCTGCCACCTGGAGCTGCAGGGGCTCCAGCAGTGCCCAAAAATCCCACTCTCACCCTGTCACTTCAACGGCTAAAACCCATACCTGACTGAATATGCAGCAGGACCCTGTCTTGGACAGGAAGAACTATGTAGAACTGAAGTCCTAAGTGACCCAGTATGTTGCAAAACACAATAACTCCATAAGCAACTGCTTAAAACAAGCACTATTCCATAGGGATAAAAATTGACTTGAGTTCTATTGCACAAGTTATTTGTAGCCAAAATGAGATCTAATATTTAAAATACTGATGGAATAATTTCTACTTACACGCATTCAGCTGAGAGCTGGGGTCAGTGCACTTGCCTTTTCTTTTGCTTTGCTTTCGTTCTTCATCCCTGATCTTCCTCTCTGCTCCCTGCCAGACAAGAGATTAAGGGAAGGGGGGGGGGGGGGAGAGAGAGAGAGAAGGTCTTTTTAAGTTTTTTGGGTGTTCAGCTGCAGGGGCAGGAACACTGATTCTTCCAGAGCTGTGTTTGTGGAGGTCAGTTCCACAGTACCTGAGCTGCAGGTTTGCCAGAGCGTGCCAACATTGAGATCTGTGTACTTTTGAGTTCTGTCATCTAATGAAATCCAACAACCATATCCAAGATGCAAACACTTTTCTTTCAAGTCAGATGGGGTTACGATGACAAAAGATACCCACAGCTATAACAACCGTATAAAGTGTGAGATAAAAATATATCTGAAGTGTTTAAAACAATAAAAAATTGCAAGTTCCCTCAGCGTAAGAGTTCACTAGATCATCATTAAATCCTGATCTATAAAAGTCATGCCACGCTTGGATCACCAAGTGCAAGATACCTTCCCTGCACGTTGCACGTAGAACCTGCAGCAGTTATACCAGCCTTCACTGATCTCAAGTTGTAGACATGCATCATTTTAAAGCAGGCATTATTTCTTCTCTTTTTATCAAGGCCAGGCTACGGTAGAATCCACAGACACCTAACTGGGTTCATGCCTGCACGATTCCTGGCCCTCCAAACCAAGCAGCACTGGGGAGAGCCATATTTTCTGCAAGGTGCAGGCAGCTACGACGGAGAGAGAGAAGGAAGGAAGAAGGTTTGTATTGGAATCGCGTTCATTCCTCCAGCTCTGGCCAGACCTCACACGTGACTGTGGGTTAAGCCAGGGATGTCACATTGCCAGTTGCATGAGGTGATAAGCCACAGTAGATCCCCAACACTCAGTCCTGGTACTACCACCAGATCACTGCCCAAACTGGTATACACAAGTTCTACCTGTCTCCCAACACCCTCCTGCAAAGCAGGGTAAAAGGTAACAGTTATCTGGCCACAGGAAACCATTATTTCTCATTCCCACCCCTGCAAAGCTGCCAAAACACACCCACATCCTTGTACGGTGCTGGGGGAAGACCAGGTTAGCTATGGCAAACAAGATGTCAAAAAGCATGCGGCGATGGGGTGGGAAGTGGTGCCTAACGGTGCACAGCATGGGAGAAGGGCAACAGCCATCCTAACGTCCCAGTAGATCAATACCCTATAGGTGACAGGATGCCTATGCCTGCTAGGTAGCAGTGGGCACATCTGCACTAGCAATAAAAAGGAAAGTTAGCCTAGATATTTGATGTGCATTAGCCTATATCACCTTTTCTCCCACGTAACAGCAGGGTCACAAGCAGCTTCAGGCAGCTGCTGTGAAAAAGAGAAAAAATTACTAATGAAGACACAGGCATTGCCAGCTTTGCTTGACCCCATAAAGCTGATACAGCCCACTACAGTGAAGACATCCCACCTAAACCTCAGCACAGCTGGACCCGCACCCCTCCGCGATTTCCCTTACCAGAATAGTCACAACATCTCAGCTTGACAGCAGAAAGACCAGATTTGGCTCCAGACCTATTTTTTAACTTTCACATGGAAATAAAGTTCTGCTACTCAAACACTGTGCTACAGAACAGCACCTGCTTCCTCACGGAGAATGTGCTAATCCATCAAGAGCACACATTTTGAGAAAACCTCTACCCTCCCATACCTACAGCCAGAGCTCTGCTTGAAAGTCAACTTTTTCCAGGCTACAGGGGCCCAGGTAAACATATCTCAAATCCCACATAAAAAAAAGTTGTCTCTTGATAACAGGCTTTTCTGCCTTGCCAGCAGAGCTCAGCGACAGCCAGGATCAGATACTTTTGAAGAAAAGACACTAGCAATCCTGTATTCCGCAATTATGGGATAAATAAGCTTGTAAGAAAGAGGCTTTCCCAACTTCATCACCTAGAGAACAGCCTACAGTCTGAAAAGCAAGATTTCACACTCTTGTCTATGTGCTAAAGGCTGCAGAGGTTCTTCTGTTGTTCTTTCCCTCAAAGTCTCCAGCTGTGTAATAGACTCTTGGGCTGAGAAAGGGAAGCGGCATTTGGGGAGAGCTGCCATCCCTCCCTCCCGCACAGAAACATGATATATTTGATAAGCAACAGAGATGCAGGAAGAGGTTGTGACGTCAAGTCACAACACGCTGGGATGTGGACCCTTCATGACAGCATGGGACTCCCCGCTTCCACACATGGGCTGTGTCAGCTGGATGTGCTCCGAAGACGGAGGGCTGCTCCCTGGCCCTTCCCTGCACGCCCTCTCGTGCTGGGTGCAGCTCTGGCACACAGCCAAGCGGCATTGGGGAGAGCTGCCATCCCTCCCTCCCGCACAGAAACATGATATATTTGATAAGCAACAGAGATGCAGGAAGAGGTTGTGACGTCAAGTCACAACACGCTGGGATGTGGACCCTTCATGACAGCATGGGACTCCCCGCTTCCACACATGGGCTGTGTCAGCTGGATGTGCTCCGAAGACGGAGGGCTGCTCCCTGGCCCTTCCCTGCACGCCCTCTCGTGCTGGGTGCAGCTCTGGCACACAGCCCACAAGCCATTCGAGCTCTTCTCCTGCCCTGTGGCCCCAGCAGCCGAGCTGCCAGGGGATACTGATGGACAAAAAATTGGACACAAGCCAGCAGTGTGCACTTGCAGCCCAGAAAGCCAACCGTATCCTGGGCTGCATCAAAAGAAGCGTGGCCAGCAGGTCGAGGGAGGTGATTCTGTCCCTCTACTCTGCTCTGGTGAGACCCCACCTGGAGTCCTGCGTCCAGCTCTGGGGTCCCCAGCACAAGACAGATGTGGACCTGTTGGAGCGGGTCTAGAGCAGGGCAAGAAAAGTGATCAGAGGGCTGGAGCACCTCTCCTGTGAAGAAAGGCTGAGAGAGTTGGGGTTGTTCAGCCTAGAGAAGAGAAGGCTTCAGGGAGACCTTATTGTGGCCTTTCAGTACTTAAAGGGGGCTTATAAGAAAGATGGAGAGAGGCTTTTTACCAGGGCCTGTAGTGACAGGACAAGAGGCAATGCTTTTAAACTGAAAGAGGGTAACTTTAGATTGGACAAAAGGAAGAAATATTTTTATGATGAGGGTAGTGAGACACTGGCACAGGTTGCCCCGAGAGGTGGTGGATGCCCCATAGCTGGAAACATTCCAGGTCAGGCTGGACGGGGCTCTGAGCAACCTGATCTAGTTGAAGATGTCCCTGCTCATGGCAGGGGGGTTGGACTAGATGACCTTTAGAGGTCCCTTCCAACCCAAACCATTTTGTAATTCTGTGATCATGCAACAGAAGGAACAGTCTCCGTGTTGCTGCCCACCTGCATCAACGCTGCCTCCAGCTGCCTTGCACCATCTCTCTCCTTCCAACAGCATCTCACTCGCTTGTTCCTACCATCCCGTAAAAACCTTCCCACAGCACTGCCCATCGCTACAAGAGTAACAGCAGGTCCCAGAGGACAACACTAGCTATAGCCTGTGAAATCCTGCATTTAATCTTCCCCATGTGGATGCTTAGCTGAGGCGCCATTTACAGCAGAGAAGGTCATCTTCCTCTGGGACAGGTCACCTCCATCCCCACACAGCCCAAATATTGCTGGGCCGAGCCTGAACAAAGCTTGTGCTGTAACATGCTGCAGGATGACACCATTATGCCCATACTGCTTTATTCAGGTCTTGAAACCACATAGGATTAGATGAAAACCAAATGTCCTGGGCACCTGTGGACCCTCTTGCCACAGAGAGAGCACAAAGGGGAAGACAGAAACGCATGAAGAAACTTGGTCTCACAGGCAGCAGCCAAAAACCAGAAACAAGTATCAGCAGCTTTCCCTTCCACCCCAAGATGAGAACTGTCCTCCTTTACTCCTTTCCTGTGCAAAGGCCACCACACAACATTAAACTGTTTGACCTTCCATAGGATATCTATCAATTTGTACACAGAAAAAAAGAGACAGCAGAGGACTGCCATGCCACTGTCTGGGTTCAAAGTCAGTTCAGGAGTGCAATGCAAGCACAGCCTTAACAGACAAAGGAATAGAGGGGACCTACACAGAGCTGTCCCTGTTAGGTGGCCACAGCATCATCATTTTGCGCTGTTTTTTCCAACAGAGTTCCACACTATAGACTTGGCCCTCCATGAAGAAAACATGGATAACAGCACTTTTACAGGTAAGAGTGGCCACATGAGAACAAACACATTAGGGACTGCAATACGTGTGGATACTATAGTAACGATGGTCCTGTAAACATTCAAGACCAGCTGACTGATTACCTAAGATTCAAGGCAAGGCAGAAAATGTGTGCTTCTTCTGAAATACCGATGCTCTTACAGGAGCCTGGAGCAGGTGGTCAGCATTGGGGTCTATGAGTGTATTGGGTTTGCGTGGCAAGGTTTTGGTTGCAGAGGGGCTACAGGGGTGGCTTCTGTGAGAAGATGCCAGAAGCTTCCCCTATGTCCAATAGAGCCAATGCCAGCCAGCTCCAAGACAGACCCGCCGCTGGCCAAGGCCAAGCCCATCAGCGACAGTTGTAGTGCCTCTGTGATAACTTATTTAAGAAGGGGAAAAAAAACTGCTGCGCAACAGCAGCTGAGAGAAAGCAGTGAAAATATGCGAGAGGGAAAACTCTGCAGACACCAAGGTCAGTGAAGGAGGGGGAGGAGGTGCTCCAGGCACCGGAGCAGAGATTCCCCTGCAGCCTGTGAAGAAGACCATGGTGAGGCAGGCTATGCCCCTGCAGCCCCTGGAAGTTACTGGTGGAGCAGATATCCACCTGCAGCCCATGGAGGACCCCACGCCAGAGCAGGTG